TTCAATTTAATTTAATTCAATTCAATTTTTTTTATATTGCACCAAATTACAACAACAGTCAACTCCAGGAACATCCTGTTTGCATTTCCATCGTTACCTTGTGTGCATTTATTGTGTGTGCTTCCCTTTGTCCCTTGTTGGTCCGTCTGCTTGTTTTCTTCCATGTTGCCTCAGTGTTTCTTCCGTCAGCTTTACCCGCGTTTCCTGGTCTCTCTTTTCTGGCCTGTGGTTTCCGCCCTCAGGTTATATGTTTATGCATAGTTTTTCCCAGTTTAGGTTTTGCTTAGTTTTCTCTGTTCCACCTGTTTGTAGTTTTTGTTCAGCTGTCCATAAAGGCTCGTTTTTTGTTATCATCCAGCCTCGTCTCCGTTTGCCTGCACTTGGGTCCTCAGTCTCTTCACACACCTGACATTTGTTGTCTTTAACAAATCAACTGTTTTTGTTTTGCTTTCTTTACATTGCTTTTACTTTTATTAATATTATGTTGCCCACCACTGGTAATGGTTTACCTTCAGGTTGAGTGTGACAGTGACAAAAATCCAGCAAGCAGACATGACACCGTAACCGCCGAACAGCAATGGTCTTCTCCCTGTGAGGTCAATGAGAAGACCCTGAAATTGAGGAAGGGAGAAAATAATGACAGACTTGTCATAAGAAGATTGTCTCTAATAGTTCAAATGAAAGGATGTATACACTTAAAATGCTCATTTACACAGATGAGCTCAGGCACAGACTGAGTGTTTGCTTACACAGGTGAGCGAGGTGAGAATTTCAGCCACTCCAAGACCGAGAGTGATATAGCGGATCTTCTTCTTTGGTATACCTGCCTCCAGGAAGATGTCATAAGTAAAGGTACTAATCTGGGAAGAAAAGAGGCACTATTAGGCTATAAACAGTCAGCATGAAATCTGATTTATATATTAGTCTATTCTGTTGATAGAAACTTGATATGGAAGGAACAATGAAGTCTCATATATACAGATATCAATAGATATATTGATCTGTAGTTATACAGATATATCATGTATGCATGTGCGTGAACCTCCAAAAGTCACAAAATTGTTGTAATGTTGTATCATTCTGCAATTTAGCAATCCTCAATCATATATTATATCATATTGTATCATATGGTATTATACTAATACTATATGGTATTGTTCATACTGTAGACATGCCCGACAGCTGGTTGCAACAGTAGATGGTGGAGATGGTGATGACCTGCCATCGGACAGTCCTGTCTCTCAGCAGCTGCAGAAGACTCACTGGTGGGGCTGCTTCAATGGCAGCCTGCTCAGTCAACATCTCATCCATTTCTTGTTGGTAGTCACCTTGGCCCCACAGACTCTGGAGAGCTGAAACCAGAAAATCCCAAATCACGGAGGGGATAAGAACTGAAAAATGTGCAACTTTGCTCAAATACAAAACAGGCAGTGACTGATTGACTTGTAATTTCACAAGACTATCATTTATCTTTAACTAGTATGTGTTTGTAGAACACATTTTCATAAACATCTGGGGTCATGTTTGATACATAAACTGCGCAAAGCTACTAACCTTTTTTGCATGCCTTATCATCACCTTTCTCTATGAGTAAATATCTTGGCGTCTCAGGAAAAAAAGGCAACATCACAATCTGAACAAAGGAGAAAAGTGCAGCGACACTAAGGAGAATGTCCCACGTGTCCTCGCGGCCAAGGATCTCGCTGAAAAATCAAAATGAAATGTTGTGTTTAATTTGTAATCTATTGTCATAATATGCTGCAGTAGCTTTTGACAATGGGTTAAAGCCCATTTTTCTTTTTCATATCAACTTCAGGTGCTTACCTTAACCCAAACGCCCGCCCAGACACTTTCCCGAGTGACAAAAAAGTGGCTAAGGTCAGAGTCACTATCCCTCTTATCTTTCTGGGTGAAATCTCCCCAAGATATATTAAGTGAGTGTTCATTCCCAAGCCTGCAGGTCACATAAAGCAAGCATGGTGAGTATAGGTGGTGAAAACATATTAATAAGGAGTCTGTAGAATATGGCAACTTACCTGCTGAGTAACCAAACAGAAATCTTGCCACAATGATCATTTCGAAAGAGTTGACATTTTTACTTGCCAGCATGAATCCTGCTGCAAGAACAGCAATGAAGCTGTTGCAGCTCATTGCCTTTTTCCTGAAGAAGGAAAGCTCATGACTTCAGGTCTCCTTAGGCTATACAGCTTGGTACAACATCTGTCTTCATACTCACCTTCCCAGCAAGTCTGAGATAAATTTGACACTGATGGCACCGAAGAGTCCCCCGACAGCAAACATGGAAACAATAAGAGACCAGATCATTGTGACCGTCTGCGGATGTGGAGGCTCTCCGTATCTGTCATACCAGCTGTTGTTGATGAAGCGCTGGATGTACTGTGGAGATAGATCTAAACTGTTATTAAATGTGATCCAGATAATCGAGACAGAATGGAGAATAAATGATAAAGGCGACGTGTCTCACCGGCGAAGGAGAACTCAGTCCAGTGATATGGAAGCCGACCTGAAAGCTTCCTCCTAATCCCAAAACAAGGATGAGGAATAGAGCGTTTCCATGGGTCTGAAGTAAAGGAGAGAAATCCGATGAATCACTTTTATAAATGTGTTTACTATCACCTGTAAAGATGCTGCATATATTTTTGAAGTCACAGTCAAACTGTGGGTATGGGTATTAACAAAGATTTCAAACATGTTTAAATGAGTGAGAAAATCTAGATTTTAAAATTGGATTTACTGATTTTTTTTTAAACACAAGTTGTGAATAAAACAAAGATTAGATTAGACTTAAGTTTACCCTGTCTGATTCATAAACTGTAACTGTTTCATTTCTAGCTGTGTCTGAAAGTTCACAGAAAAACAATAATAATCACCTTTTTTGAATCTTTTCATGATCACACCTCAGTCATAGATTGTAATCATGTAAATTTGAGCTCAGTGTCATGTTAGCTGTACCAGCGAAATGGTTTAATAACTGAGAGAGTAGTGTGACTCAGCTGAAACTGTGGTTTAGATAACTCCCCTGAGTTCAGGAACTAAAAATAAGCCACTCTGATTTTGTAAAAAATAAATAAATACAATTTAAAAAGAAAATTATCAGCATTACGCATAAAATTAGACATGTGCAATGTGACAGATTTGTCACGAAACATTTTAACAGAAACGTGAAAAGAATATTTAAATTATATTTAAAATCCACATGTACATATTTACAATACATGTATTAACTTTTATGGCGCAAATATAGGAAAAATCTTACCAGCTGCTGAAACAAAGTTTCCATTCTCTTGATACACGGACCTTAACAGCACATATGTCCTAACAGTGGGGACACAGTTCAGTGTTTCACCCTGCTTATTATTAACTTTTCAGAAATAAAGTAACTTGGTGTCATCACACCACCCTGACAATCACTGGATCATTTCTAACTTGCAGCTATTTCAGACTGAAAACAATATAAACTGAATGAGTTCACAGTCACACGCAAGCTAATGTATAGATTTAACCATAATGTCAAATAAGGACATTATCAGTACATTTTGTGCACAACACTGGTGCTGCATATGTTTTTATAAGTGATTCGTCCTATTGCAGTAGCTTGATTTATGCTTTTCTCTCTGTTCCTGTTTCTTCTTATTCTTCTTATTTAAATCACGTGGAAAGATAAACTCTATTATTATCAGACCAGCAGAGTTTAGACGTAGACTAAGAACTGTGGCTGTCTATGAACATTTGAAAAAGGAATACACTCAATAAATAAATTAATTCTTAATTCTCATTTAAACTTGCAAAAAAACAAACAAACTCCCCAAAAAAGCCATCAGTGCAATCCAGCTATTATGCAATATAGTATCGTGGCTCCAGCAATAAGTCATCCAATACTTTTCTCAGTCCAATGAGGCATAAATGATTGAAAGATGCACCACAAAGTCTTACATAATGTTCAAACATGTTTTGTTCTGTTGGTCACTGTTACGTCCCTCTGCAGCCCCTAATCTCTTCAGTGGGTTCAGCTGTTGCTAATTGACCACACCTAGTCAGGTGTGGATAAAAGGATACCTGTGATGCCGTGATTTTGTTTCCACGGTTTTCTTTAGACATGTCAATTTGTGGCAAACTTGCTATCAGGCTTGGCTGGGTTTGTACACCTCAGAGTATATATAATATAACCTCAAAGGGACTATTTTGTTAAAAAAGAAACTTCAGCTGCTTTGACAATAGGAGACAATTAGGATAAAAGTAGTTTGTTTGTTTTGGTTTTTTTTGAAGAAAGAAGAGCCATATACAGCAACAGCTCTTGGTGTTATTGGTGTTATGGCAGTGTGTTAAGTGCAGCCAGCATAATAGCATCCAGACTATTTTGTCCTTTTCTTATATGTTTTGTCCTTTTTTTCTGTTTCTGATTGAAGACAGTGATCAGATTGTTTTCACACGTGGCTCTGCTGCCACCAACAGATCAAGAATTGAGGCATTTTTATGCATGATACTTTTGACCACATGCTTTATAACCAAGATGGACATGACCTTCTGGTCTGAAAAAAAAACAACCTTCCTTTGGTCGCAATTTATAGAAGTCTATTATAAGACCACCAACCTCATTTTGGCTGCTCCCTTATTCACAAGTGGTCGCCACAGTTAGTAGCTCCCCATATTTAATTTGGCAGATTTGAATGATGGATGCCCTTCCTGACACAACCCCAGGTATATTTGTCTTATTCTGGGGTTAGATTGGGGATCTTTCGTCTGTTGGTCAAATGTGTAAGTTGTTAAAATGTCAATTATGGTTCCATGTTGAGTAAAATACATGATAAAACAGGATATGCTCCAGGGTTTGTGATCGACATGTTGCTATTCATACTGTATGTCTGTGATTTTTCTAAACTTTATATGCCACGTAAAGATCAAGAGAAACTTATTCATGCATTCATCACTTCAAGACTAGATTATTGTAACTCTCTTTACTTGGGCCTCCAATCTTCCCTCCTTCAGCGATTGCAGTTGGTCCAAAATGCTGCAGCATGTCTCTTAACTGGCACTAGAAGGTATGAATCTAATTGTTTACTTATAAAATCCTAAATAATATGGCACCTGATTACTTTGGGGATCTCCTCTGTCTGTTTGCCTAAGAGAGCACTAAGATCATCGGGTCAACTGCTCTTAGTGCAACCTAGGTCTCGGCTGAAGACCAGAGGACACCGTGCCAAATTATGGAATAATCTTCCTCTTGACATTCGGGCATCAGATTCTATTCAATCTTTTAAATCATGTCTAAAAACGTACGTGTTTTACCTGGCATTCAAGGCGAATTAGTGTAATTTTCATCTGGCTCTGCATTTATATTATGTAATTACTTTATATCTGTAATTTATATTTTATATTGTGATTTTATCTGTATCATGGTTTTACTGGAAAGCACTTTAGTGTACTTTGGTCTTTAAATGTGCGATACAAATAAATTTGATATGATATGATATGAGATCCCGTTTCAAGAAATGAGGCTTCATGATTGAAGGATTTATATTAATTAATTAATTACTTAATTTATTTGTTTTTACATTAGACATTCTTTTAGTCCCTGAATCAGCCCAGGTTAAACAAATAGCTCTTTCTGTATTACTGATCTACTACATCACATGCACACTTATTACACTAATTCATTAAAAATAAATAATTAAAACTGGAAATGAAAAACACATAATTTATTCAATGCTATAAATGAAATGAATTGACATTTAATGAATGTATTATATAGTTAATAAAATAATTATTTCCATTTTTTATTAATTAATAACACATTAGATGGATTATTTGATGACATATTTATTGAATTCATTTTGGCACTCGTGGCTCTCCATACTTATTAGTTTACAGCCATAAGCACTTTTATTGATTTGGATGCATCCTTCTTCCTTTGGTTCCTTTTAGCTTTAGTGAGAAGTTTTAAGAACAACACAGGCTGTGATGTCAGTTTATATGATGTGACCTCCATAATGGATTTTGTTAATAGTCCTAATAAAAATCTAACATGTCACAATGTTTTGTGACTCTTCATCAGAACCTGAAGCTGTTTAAAACCAGTGGTGAATCTGCCCGACTGAGCTAATTTCCCTAAATATTTTATGTGACTGATATTAAATTTGGCGGCCACTGATCCATTGACATTGTCATTAAAAAAAAATTACAGATGAATTAGCTAACACAGCAACAACCAAAAGCACAGAGCGAGCAACTACTCTTTTTAACATGATATGTTGATTTTATTATTATTAGTATTTCTAACCCGTTTTGAACAGAAAAAAATCAGAATAACCTTCTACACATTTTATTGGGCAAGATTTCATTTTTTATTCATACATTTTCATCACTGTCCTTGTTCTTATTATTGCAGGCAGAGCAAATCAAATTGAATTCCTGGCCTGTGAGTTTTCCTCACCTCCGTTGGGCTCTTTGAGTGGCTGTGTATGGCTGGTTATGATGATGTACATAACAAGTGTCTTCTTCCTTATCACAAACCAACAGCTGCTAGCATCCACGGGGTCTTCATTAGCTGTTAATAACACTCTGCCTACAGTTCAGCACTCTGGTGGTCCATGTTGTGATTGGCAGTATCCTGGCTGGGCTGATCATTCTGAAACGATACCATGCTGTGCTTTGATAACAACGAGGGAGGAGTAATTAAACAAGTAATTGGAGCAATCTTTGTTAACATTTCTTACTTGCAGAGCTATTTTGAAATATTCACGTCAGCAGGTGGCGATATTAGCTTTCTGCTGGGAGGCAGTAACTCCACGGAGCATGTACATCAACCCAGTGCAGTTACTGTAGCCCAGAGCAAACAGGGCAAATGAACTAAATCTGGTTTTCATAGATGCTTAAATTGAGGTAAATAAAGGCTTTACATATCTATTATCATTTATTGTCATTATAGTTAATTAGTAAATAAATATTTCAGACATTTTTGACCCATTGATCAGAGAGAATTCACTGTTCATCAGCACATGTCAAATTCTCCACTTGCAACTGTTTCCTCTGTGTCTGATTGTTTCTGAGATGTGTGGAGTTCAAAACGTACCTTGGCCACTTAGCGATACAGTGTGCCTCTTTTGATGTTTTGACCGTGGTGTTTTTGCCTATAACTTCATTGAAATTCAAAATGGTTAATTCACATACATCCGTCTTATTCATATTACGTATCTAATGGGAAAAAAAGAAGAGAAAGCTTTTCATGGTTTACACTTAAGCATTAACTATTAAGTAAATCCTCCTCCAGCAGAGCAACAATGCAAATTGAAGAAGGGGTGAAATGAGGGCCATCGTTCAGCCATCACTCTGCCTGGCAACACTGAGCTCACAGACAGTACTGCAAGTCAGAGTAGAGTGAACACAGCTGCATGTGTTACAGATTAAATGAATCATTGTCTTATAAGTCTCAAGATTTTGGGACAAACTGGTTTCTCCAGGTTTGTTCTGTCTGAGCCATGTGGGTAGATTTATTAACCTCCTAGGACCCTCTGTCCACATATGTGGACATCACATTCTTGGTTATTTAGAACCAAATCCTCAATTTTGCTCTACAAGGGCCTGATATCCACTTACGAGGACATTATACTGCTACTGTTCTATTGAAATTTTAAACGAATATCCTCATTTGTGGCTCTTATTTATCTTAGAAACAAATATTGGGCAAAAAAAAAAAAAAATCCGGTACTTCTTTGTTTTTACATTCATCGGGCCCCAATCAGCCCAAATATCAAAGAGAAATTAAAAATGCATGCCATGGAAGAGTTCGGGTCGTAGGAGGTTAAATGACACAATGCTTTTTAGTGCACGGCCTGAACAAAAAACATTCCACCTGATTAAACTGACCATTGTGTGTGAAGATTATCTACTTTTTCTAAGTGGAAGAGAATGAGGAGCGGATGACAGGGGAATTAGCAGGTCATACCGATACCAGTCTCTCGCTTTACCGAAGGACAGCTTCAGTTCGTGTTAACAAAAGCTGCTCAACAACTGTGTACAAGAAGCTTTTCACTTTACAAATAGTGTCAGACTGCAGTTGTAACACTGCAATAAGGTCATTAACAATAAAAAACCCCACATAGTTTGTTGTTCATAGTCAAGCACATTGATGGACTTTTAATGTGCAGTAATCGACTTTCTTTTAATGCATACAATGGCAGTAAATGTATTGCATAGTGGAAAATATGGGAAATTTTGATGGATGTTGTGTCTGCATTAATTAAATGAAAAATGTATTTCTATTTAACGTTTATTCAACTTATTTTTATATTTGCTAATCTAATGTCATTGTATTTTTCTTTTATAATGATGATAAAGAACCCTGAATCTTGTATCCAGTTTACACCTGAGGTTGTCCAGATCGGCCATTTCTGCGATAAAATCTGCAATGTCGGCAGAGACTTGCCACCAGACTACACATTTAGAGGATAGTTTAAAAAGCACATTTTGCGGTGAACCACTCTGGACTGCCTTCCCCTTCATGGTCTCGTCCCACTGGTGGAGCGAGCTCATCAGCTAGTATTTATTTCGCCAACTGCCATTTACATGCAGTGCGTAGAAAGCGGCAGTGTTTGTCTGAAAAGGGGCTTTCCTAGCTCCAAGACCACCTATGCTTCAGATACAGCTGAAGGCCTAATCAGTCTATCCATCATCTGGGCTAAACAGAGACAGAAAAAGATGTGGGTAATAGGAAAATGAAGAGAGA